GCAGGGGCTAACCTCGGAAAAAAAAAAGGTAATGTTCTAATCGAATACAAGAGTTTTTTCTTCTTCTTGAAATTGGAATAGAAACGACATGCTTTGTATTCCCATACAACGCGTACGAGGTCTATTTGACGTGCCCTTCTATTCGAGAAAAGTGGACCCACACCGTTCGATTTCGAAATATTCAACTCAAGGACCATGGCCTCCTACTAACTGCCTGTTCCTTGGCGGGCTTTCTGTTGCTCCTGATCCTGGCAAGCAATTTCTTCCGCTTCTGAATCTGGTGAGTTACTGCTAGTGTTAGGGAAGTGGGTGTTGTTGCTGCTGCTGCAGCGGCGGCAGTGATGGGTCTGACAAATATGGTAGCAGCTGAGGCTGTGGCTTCTGTTTTTTTTTTTTTTTTTTTTTTTTTTTTTTTTTTTTTTTTTTTTCCCTTCAATGAACTTTGTCTTCAGAATGATTAAATGAGGTTGATGCTTCTGCTGATATTGGTTTTCATTTTCGTCTTGTTTCCCTTGTCTTTTTTTATTTGTTTTTACTTTTCTTTTTTTGTCATTTACTGCAGTTGGTCAGTTATTGGTGTAGATAGGAAATGATGATGATGATGATGATGATGATGATGATCCATGCAGACATTTTTTCCAAGTTTTCTGCGTCTTCTGCTATTACGGTCGACACAATTAGAAGACCACACAGTGAAAGTAGAGCAGGTATGACAAATACCACATGTTCCCCCCGCTTAGCTATCAGCAGAACGCTGACCCAGCAATAGAACGATGACCTGGCACCACAATGCTGACCTGGCAGCAGAACAGGCCCCTACGAGAACCTGTGCATCTTGCACTTTTCCATCTTTGTCCTACTCTGATTACCATTTCGCCCCGAACACAACACACAAGGATTATGAATGTGTACAAGCTCTCTTTCAGGTCGCATACAGCTGAAATCAGTGTGGGTTGTGTTTGGGGAAGACGGTACTTCTCTTATGTAATTGGGACTCGCTCGACTAGTCACCATGTACACAAAAGACAAAAAATGTAGTGGACGATCTTGTCATTTTCTAGTGGAACGTTCATTCTCATTTCGGACAATTGGTGAGTAGTTGCAGCAGACCTTCATCTGCCCTGACCTACAGTCAGAGCCTATTTGGCTATTTGCCAGTTCGGCCTGTGGGACCAGGCCGTGGCCTGACCCCATAGGCCGTGTGGTTATTCAGTCCAGTCCAGTCCTGCCC